TGCTTGAAGTCCATCTTTCACTGCTATTGAACAAAATAGTATACCTCGAAGGTTTGTGGGTGAAACAAACCGACATCTGTCGTGTTTTAGTAATTTATTGCTTAACGACTGTGTATAATATACATTGTTTACTATTTTGGACGTCTGAGATTTATTTGAACCGCCAAGCCTGTTCGATACTCTGAATGTGTTTGACACCACCATATATGAAGCCAGACTCATCGAGTTCCCAGACCATGCACTTACTTTACTTGTGGAAACTGTAGTTTCGGCATGCGTTACAAGTCATTGCTCGTGTTTTCGCAAATTTTATTGTTGCTTCCTTATTTTTTTAAATCATAATAAATGAACATACAATTTTGTTTATTCATTATAGTGTCAAAACGCCTCTTAAAAACCTTTCAATGGTGAATTACTGGACCATGTCGTGGAATGACGGTGTTACCGTAGAGATGATTTCTTAGTGTATGAGAACTGTGATCTTGTGTTTAAGCAGAAAATTGTGGTTTTTGAAATCTTGTAACAGGTGAAGGTTGAATTGCATCACTCCTACTTTTCAGGACCATGATCGTTGTTTATTAATTTCCATACGTTATTTAATCGATAAACCTTCCCTGATTCATTTGACTTAGTTTTGTCATATCTTGTGGCCTGTGTGCCTTGTTAACGTATAATGTGATAATACCGCCAGTTAGAGAACACTGACTTATGGAACGAACCAATGAAGTAATATACCCATGCGAGCAGTTCAGAGTACTTACCGGTCCTGCTTTCTGCTTAGCCCAGCCATTTAATTCTAGAACACTAATAACAGCCTCTGTGGTATGAATCTTTTATCCCATACATACTAGGTTTATATACCAATCAGACTGATCACATCGCACCATAAAATAAAAAAACAACATTTGTACAAGATTTAGCCAAATCTGTCTGTGAATAAGGAAGATAGTAATTGTTAAATAGAGCATAAACCAAGAATGGAAAATATATAATAATAGTCCATAAATGGATCCCGGAAGTTACCATTCATTATTTATAGCGGGACACAGCAGTATTATGTGACCATTTGATCTGTATTATCCTACTCCGAAATATAAACATTGTTTGTCCTCGTTAAGTCTCTCATGGCGGCTAAACTTTTCTGATACGAAAGGATCCTCAAAATTATATGCACGTCTATCGACAGGATAGTATATTTAGCACAAGGAGGAAAGTGTTACATAGAATGGCCACTGTAGCTGTAAATAATTCCCCGAAATCAATAGCTTTCTAAGTGTTCGACATTGGATGCTGACCACGTTGTTTAAGTGGGCTTGTTTAACTGAAGGCTTTCGGTCATGCATCCGTACGAGATCAGCTGCAACTCGCCGTGGGACACAGCTCCTACATTTCCATAGTCAGCTAATAACGAACGCCTCTCGACATATTGGTAACGTATCAAATATATCTTTCCTACCTCTTCTCGTCTGACTTCTGATTTCCTTTGGCCGGGAACGATCAAATATAGAAGGTACTACTGGTTGCTAGTTGTTAAACTAGAATATCCGTCGTATCTTCACCACGTATCCAGGATCAGCCAGTGCGGACTTCAATTAACAACCATTATTCGTTCTTTGCTAATCAACGTCTAGTGAATATCTAAATTGGTACAGCTAGGTTGAACGATCATGTGTCGGGAAGCAGTGTAGTTCCACTACCATAATAATAACCATTACGTAAAAGCCATATCATTGTCTATTCTGACTCGTCCTATAGTGATGATCGGCAATAAGATATTTAATACATCTGGAGAACACAGTTCGATAGGGACAAAATAATATATTTAATAATGAGTTATGAGTTATGCAGAATGACCACGACTCCAAGAATGAGCCATGCCAACCTATTAATTATTCCCGTGTTCAACATTTTGATCTCTGAGTGTTACATGTTGAATGTAAATCTTTTCAGTAGCTGCATGCTCGGCTTTAAAAATCTTGTAGTTAAGAACCGATGCCACTACAATACTTCATGGAATCCTTAGTCAGCAACAGGACCAAGTAGCTTTCAAACAATGGAAAAAACACTTACAATAAATGGCTCGACTATATGAATTATATATGCCGATAGATTTAACAACCTGGACGAATGATGACAATTAACCCCACTGTTTAAGATTTATAATTTCATGGTGGTTGTTTGTAACTTCTGTGTTCTACAGTGTCAAGCAAGGAATAGGAACTAATGGAATTCCTCCAGTAAACTACTAGTAGTAAATTTTAGCAATCTGACAGTTATAAGCTGTGACGTTTGCTATGGTATCCACTTGAGCAAAAACGGGTTAGATAGTAAGTTTGGTCCAGTTACATTCATGCTTACTGGCTTTCGGTTCAATGGTGACTAGTTGGCTACAACGTGTTTTGCTTACAATAAACACAGAAAATAATGTAGCAGTTGATACGCGAATGAGTCTTGCACTATAACTAACTTGTTAACGTAGTGAAACAGAGTAACTGATCAAAGTTAGAAAGTAGGTTTAACCAGCAGTACTCTATAGACCTCACCTCTCTGAAACCTGGAAAAATCAGAAAATAGGTTCATCTACTTATATGACAATGTCATCTAACCAGAAAATGAAGCAAAAGCAAATATTACTCTTTAAGTTTTCCCGTACAAAGCCATATGAATTAAATTTTGAAACGATCTTGGAGTTTTTCAGGGTGTTAACGGTCGTTAAACCTCAAAACTTGTTTCACACTTAAAAATAGGTATGTTTATCAATTTAAAATGGTTGAGATTTCCAAATAAAATAAATTGGATCTGAATGATGAGCTGCAGAAATTCCAGATTCAGGATTGGTATTATTATGCGTCAGCTATCAAAGACACTGTCGAACCTGTCACGATTCATAGCGAACTAAGCCAATTTACGAGGTCATCCACCCTGTACGTTGTAGTGACAGTTCACGAAGTAGCCCTTAATTGATTCATTATATGTTGGAAGTTATAGTTTTAATAATAATTTATTCTCATGGAGTTTTGTGCCATAAACGTTTACATTTTGTCACTTTCTGTAAAAGGATGAAAGTTTTGGAAATCTTTTTGATGTGTTTAAGCTGACAATTGTTTTTTCCTGACGTTTTTATGCCTAATTCGTTTACATTAACCATATTGGTTTATTTTTCAGCTTTATTATTACTATTATTCACAAACATCTTATAGGTACATAAGTGTTGTGAAGAAATCATTTCGGATTTCTTCAAGAATGCAATAATACACAAGTTTTAATAATGTCAGCATTATATTCGCCATATTTGAGAAGGGAGAGGAAAATAAAATAGTAATAATAGAATAGTAATAGTAAATTACGTTTTGTGTAATTGACAAGAATTTTGAATCGATTTTAAAGAAGGAAAGGAAGAAACTAAGGAAATAGAGGTAAAGGAGACGTGAAATACGTAAATGGCTTAATAAGCGCGTTTATGAACGCAGAACAAGAATAAACAACTGAGATGAACCAATAATTTTAAAAATAAATAATAAAAATTAGAAAGAAATAGTAATAACATTAATAATAAACTTTTAGTGCACTCGGATAAATACATGTAGATTTATGTAGCAGTATACACAGTGAAACCGGGTATTAGTATAAACGTTTGCGCAATAATAATTTAGAATGATGCTATCATAGTAACAAGTAATTGCAAAATGTAATCAAATATAAATTTCTATGTAGACTAACTATTCGTTTTTTGGTTCTAGCTAGGATTTGCCTTGATTAATTCGCTGGATTGCCACATAATCTTCAACCGTTGACAATAGGGTCTTATCTGTCTGAATACAGAAGAACATCTTAGTTTGGCTAAGCGAAATAAACCTTAATCATTTAGATCGTCTTCTGCTTCTAGGTCGAATATCTGTATTACGGTCAGTACATTTTCCACCCTTCGACCTGATCCTGGCTTATTCGCTAGATAAGTTAAACAGTTTGATGTAAACAAACGAACGTCCCCCAAGTTACAATACCCATTCATCAGTGTAAATAAACAGACTTTCTGGTTGTTTATCTGCGGCCTGTTATGTCATATCGTTGGAAAGTAGGGAAGTTGTATTGACCTAGTCCGAGTATTAATTACGAAGATGCCACAAATATTCGGAGTTTGATAACACCTTAACCAGTAACATCTATAACCGAGCGAGATACCTCAGTGAAACCAGAAATAAAAAGCGAAGAGGTTCGAAAATATATTGGATGGAATATGGATGTATCGAGAAGGGGTTATTCTATGGTTGTCAGCTGTTGTGGGAGATGTGAAGCACGGCGCACTCGCTCATGATCTGGTGCGGATTCGTGACTGAACGTCTTCAGATAAGTGAGTTAATCAAAACTAACGCTATCGGCATCAAGTGTCGAAGACCTACAGAGCTATTGATTTTGGGGATTATTTACAGCTACAGTAAGCTGAGCAACACCATCGGCTGACGTTTACAAAGTAATATTCCGTGTCCTTTTCTAAGTCCCTCTCGCTGTACAACCCGAAAGAATAACCTCTTCATTCCGGTTTTATAGGTACTGATTCAGGGAATCTCACCTTTATGCATTCAAAAGTCCCCTCCAACAAAGTATAGACCGATCTAAAAAATAATCCACTCGTCAATATTTTATGAATGCGTCTTGATTTTTATATGACAATCCTACTTTTTGGCCAGTTTCTTGTCCTTTCATCACTAGTGTTTACCCGAAATATCCTACAACTGGAACACATGCCCCACAAAGAGGCAAAAATCTATGTATGTCAATATCTATGAATAAGAAGTACTGACACATTTTCTTTGCGCAATAATTTAAGTCATTCGACAAAGTAACATCGGCTTAAACCCATGCTAGTTTATGAATGAATTAGGCTAACGCGAAAACCCAACTCGACAATTTGTTTAACTAAGTAGAACCTAGTAGAACCACATTCTAGATTTCGAAGCGCGAGAAGTTGTTTCTACGTTTCCCTGTTTGGCTGTTGTCTCATGGCTGTGTCAGTTGTCGGCTTTGATATAGGCTCTTTGACTTCTTACATTGGTGTTGCTAGAGGTGGCGGGGTTGAGGTGATTACAAACGAGTATAGTGAGAGGGCTACACCGTAAGTCTCTTGTGTTGTTGATCTTTTCAGAACATGTGTTGCATTTTCAGGGGATTTAGTCCTTGTAGGAACAGCTGCCAAGTTACAACAAGTTATGAATATCCAGAATACTTTTACAAGCTTTACTCGGTTGCTCGGGAAATGTCTGTCAGACTTCTCAGTTGTGAACGAAAGAAAGTTCATGACCCATCAAGTCGAAGCAACTCGTGATGGTCGCATTACATTTTCGGTAAGTCTTTTCATCTAGCTGTTTTATTTTGTCAAGGCTTCTCTGAAAGGCCAAAAAACTCCTTTTGTCCCTGAGCAAATCTTGGCGATCCAAATGAATAAACTTAAGGAAATTACAGAGACTACTATTGGTTCTAAAGTGGTCGATGTTGTTGTCAACGTTCCTACCTACTACACAGATGCCGAACGAAGATCTGTATTAGATGCCACGAAAGTGGCAGGATTGAACTGTGTAAAGCTAGTGAATGATATAACTGCAAGTAAGTTCTGCTTGGATTCTTAATCTCGTAAGTTGGTACTGCGTATGGGTTTTACAACACCGACTTACCACCAGCTGATCAACAGCCGAAAATAGTGGCATTTGTCAGTATCGGTTACAGTACAACTCAAGTTGGCATTTGCAGTTTCAACACAGGCAAGATGAAAGTCCTTGCAACGACATGTGATGCTTTTCTTGGTGGTCGGGATTTTGACGAAAAGCTTTTCAGCAAGTTCGCTAGTGAATTTCAGCAACAATACAAACTGAAGGTACATTTGTGTTAGATTTTTCACCTTTGCAGGGTTCGTTATCATCCAAAGCGACTCTAAGATTGCTCCAAGAATGTGAAAAGCTCAAGAAGTCAATGAGTGCTAATTCCTCGGAGTTACCTATCAACGTCGAGTCCCTAGCAGAAGATCGAGATTTAGCGAATAAAATGAAGCGGACTGATTTCGAAGAATTGTGCTCTGATCTCATGGAACGATTTCAAATGTTGTTTACAAAGTGTCTTGATGTGGCTAAGTTGAAGTCGGAAGATGTACACTCAGTGGAACTTATTGGCGGTTCTTCGCGTATGCCTATGATAAAGAACGTTGTCGCATCTGTCTTCAGACAAGAAGGAAGGACTAGCTTAAATGCTGATGAGGCTGTCGCTCGGGGATGTGCATTTCAGGTATGTCTTTGGATTCAATATAGTTTTAAACGAGTTCTATAGTTATTAATTCATGTAGTGACGGTTTTCTAAGCATTCATCGCAAATATATTTCAACTTGTTATTTGCACCGCAGTTAGTTTATACCTGAGACCACAAAATTTTAGGAATCCCGTAATCTAGAGTATGTTTTAGAAAATGCTAGAGCCTATTCGTAATAGTTGTGTTAACTCATAGCAATTGTGATCTTACGGGTTCCAGAGACTTGCCTAGTTTATTCACATTTTTTCGCTTTTTACTGGCTGGTCTAACTTCACGAGTTTGTCGTAAATTACTGACATCAGTTCTTCCTCACAATTCCAACTGCTTTAGCTAATTCCACTGGTCCATCTAAAAATAATTTCTCTAAATATGTAGAAACTACCCATAATTTTAATAACGATTCCCAATAGCATGCTGAACTATCACTTAATAGCTACTTAAAGGAAGGAACATTATTAAAAACAAACTCATCAGGGCTGTTTACTGTCACATAAAGTAGTCATCATTCAGAAACAGCTTATTAGAGCGTATATTAGCGAAATCTCAGCTTATCCACACTGAAGTCTCGCTAACCGCTGTTCAACCAAGCGGATGAATGCAAGTAATTGACGTAAGCCAAACCTAAAGCAAAATGTTGTGAAGTAATTTATTCCAATATCACTTCATGTTTGAGAATGCAGTTTGTCATTCTCCGTTTAACAAAACTGCATGCTCCAGGACAGCAAGTTTCCACAATGAAAAATTGAACTATTTTGTAGGTAATTGAAAGTGTGTTGTGACTTAATTATCATATAATATCGACCATCTTAGTTGTACCTTACTGTCTATTGAATATTTAACTGACTTGACTCTGAATGTAAGCAGTAATGTGACCTGAAACATCAAGCAGTGGGACTCAGTAGAGTGCGTTTAAAATCATTTATTGTGGCCACAGATAAACAAGAAATGCTAATGCCTCATTTGTTGCAGCACGAGCTCCATAAACCATGTGTGTATGCCAACCCTGTTCTGTAACAGATCCTCGTGCCTAAATTCACTTACGTAAGTACCTACCATATGAAGAGTAGTATTTGAAAATTCTGTATTTTTTAATCAGTAAATTAAGCCATTTAGTAATCCAGAGTCTAAGGTGATCAGAAACTTTTGGAAGGTCTCATGCTTTAAATGTGATTTTAATCTTTACATTGTAGGCAGCTATCTGCTCCCCAGCTTTCAAGGTGAAAGACTTCAATGTCGTTGAACCATGTTTGTATCCTATTATAATACAATTTGATCAAGAGGAAGGTAGCAAACAATGCATGCAAACTGAAGAAATTGATGGCATATTAACAACACAAGGCAAAAATATGTGCATCGAAGTTTTTCCTTTTCTCCATCCTATTCCTTCTTCACGTCAGATCGTTCTTTTACAACATGGTGCTTTTACTTTAGAAGCTCGATATGCGAATAAGGATGACTTACCAAACCAAAATACTGTCATTGGAACTTTCAAAATAGGAGACGCTTCCCAAATATTCTCAGAGCCTCGTAAAATCAAGCTAAAAATGCGTATGAATACCCATGGTATCTTCAATATTTCACAAGCACAATTAGTAGAAGAGTATGAAAAGGAAGTTGAAGTTAGTGTTTCTGAGGACAACTCTGTGGTTGATGGATCTCAAAACTCTAAACAGGAAGTAACCACAGCTAGCAATGAGGATACTGAGAGTCAGAATCCCCCGGTGGATACCAACCAAACAAATACGCAAGATTCTACTTCACCGAAAAAGAAAACAGTAATGAAAAAGAAAAAATTCACCAAGTATCATGATTTGAGCATTGAAGTTAGTAATATGCAGTTCACTACTAAACAACTCAATGAGTTCTGTGAAATTGGGGTATGTTACACGTTTTTCCACGCCCGATTTTGTCGCATATGTATCACTAGGTCCCCCTGAGTAAAAAGTAGATAATCCCAAGTTACAAAAATCCTTGTAAATTATAGATTTCATCTGTTGGAATTCCATTCAGTTCTTGTATTCGTTTTTTCACAACTCATTAGATGATTTTCAAAGTCTGTTTCATCTCGCACGGCGTATTTGATAAAAAAAGTGCAAATTAGTAACCAAATCGAGATGTTCACTAATAAAATAATAATGACTACCCTTGATATACATAAGGATCGTTATTTTTCAGAGTTCATCCATGAAATGTACCATTGGATTTTCGTTGTTGCATTTAAAAATATACATACGAGAGTGTATTTCGTTCATTTTCGGAACGTTTTGCAAGTACTCAGTGTGATCTGGGTATTTTTTTTAGTCATAACATCTATCTTTCTCATAGCAGATTGAATTTTTACTACAAAGAAATGTCTTAGTTTAAGTTATAAACATTCAGATAGTATTTTTCCAGCTGAACAAACATGTGATGTGTAAATAATTCTTACCCTATAGGACTTTGTGAATTTGAAGTTTTAATAGAAACCCATGAAAGATATTAAGACTGTCCCCACTCCTTATTTCCATATACTGACTCATTACCACAGTTTTATTTTTCTAGGCTTTAAACATTCTTGGGTAGTATGTGTGATGGTATACAAAACCCGTACTTTAGTGGTAACCATTATCCAGCTAATCCCAGTTGACAGATTACGCTTATTAACAACTGACCATCATTTGTCTCATTCAAACATGTGAAGGAACCGCCAACATTGTATAAGGGTAACTTTTGCCTCCACAACAGACTAAATTCTTATTATTGATATGCTAGTGTTGTCTCGATCACTACAAAACTACTCAAGCTTTGTGAATAGTTCAATATTGTGCCAAAACAGAAAGTTGAGTGTCACGATTTTCTATCATCCATCAAACTGAAAACAAGTAGTCTTAAGGTTTAGTATTTCCTAAGAATTTTCTTAAAATGGATTCGCTAAAATGGAAACAAATGTCGTACGAATATTTGAACCCTACGGTTAGTAGTAGTTTGTATACACTGAAAATATATGCCATGTTTGTAAATTTTGCATCACATCTCAATTTTTGTTTTTAATAGGCTAATCTCATTCAGCAGGACAAATTGGAACGAGAACGAGTCAATTCTAAAAATGCTGTTGAAGAGTATGTTTATGAAATGCGGTCTAAACTTCAAGGACCATTGAACCCGTTCACCTCACCCACTGAGTCAGAATCACTACTTCACTTATTAGATATGACAGAAGAGTGGCTATATGGTGACGGTGAAAGCTTAAGACGTCAAGCTTATATAGATAAGCTCGCCGAGTTAAGGAGCAAGGGAGATCCGATTGTCCACCGAGCGAACGAACATCTTAATCGTCCTTTAGCCGTTGACAACTTTAATCGATCACTCGTGGTGAGTTATCTCACTAACATGTATATGCTACATTTTTATAATCCATTCACTAAACCTATTAAGTCTGACATTACGTGAATCTATACTATAGTACTTGTCAAATCCAGTCATCTCAAAAATGTTCTGAATTCCATTCTACCTGGTTAAAAAGTCTCTGTGATACCTTCATTCTCAACTCAGTCTAGTCCTTTGATACCTGTAGTTGTCACGTTTGCATAATATTGTGTGATGAATAAAATCCCACCAAATTTGTTGGTTATGTAGATTAGTAATCAAGCACGTTGATCATTGAAATCACCCGGATTAGTTACGACAACTATATATCCCAAGATGATTAAGGATAACTGCCAAATATATCGTATACGAGTTCGTATTTTTGTGAAAGTAAATGATCAAGATTATCACTACTGTTGATGTTTCACTGCTCAATCTCTTTCTGGTAATTTGAGTCTACTTTCGTCACTTCCACTAAAAGAGCGTGTAAAGTGCCTTTTCATCTATCTTCAAAACATTCGCATTCGTTCGTCGTTCGGTTAAAAACAGTAACAATATTAATTGTTTTTTAATTAATGATACTTAATATTAGTCATCTTGATTATAATGGAAATAAGTTATTAGATGTTCGACTTGACAATCACTGTAGAACTTTGTATTGTCCAAACAGGTTTTAAAAATCGTGTGTAACAAAATAGATTGTAACACAGCGAACTAATTAAAACTGTGGAATCCTAGAACTTTGTTTCAGCCTCTGATAGCTGTAGATGTTCAAGTTTATAAAATCCCTTTTATAATTTATTTTTATTTAACTGAATTAAATCTAAATTTTTCATAGAAATGATATCATTGGTTCTGTCGTGTTATAATTGTATTTTTTTGCTATATAAACGACCCAGCTATTCTTATTGCTTAGTATTCTTATACGATGACACTCGACAAGACTCCAAAATCAGAACACGTTGAACAGGAATCAAATTGTATTCAAAATAATAATGATAAGTGAACAGCAATCAGCAATCAATAGTTTAAATATCGTTCATATATTTATAGTATATACATAAGAAGCTTATAGATTTTTCTGCAATAATATGCCCGGGCTGATCGGTTTAAAATTAACCAATCAGCGCGCAGCAACACCATCATGCATAAAACATGCTTAATCCAATCTATATCCCACTAACATGTCGATTCAAGCAACTGGCATCTCAAAAAGATTTTCGAAAACTACTAAGGTGGATCATGGTAACCATATTTCGCAGACTAAGCCAAATATTATGGCTGGCTTACTAAGTAATTAACAGTACATTTTTTGTCTTGGTGAAATCTAACGTCTTACTTAAAACCTTATCCCACTCAATATTTTTATAAAATGTGAAAAATATATTTGACCGTACGTAGTTATGGAAATTTTTCTTGGTCTTTATTAAAAACTACACATTGTTTATCTGTTCCCATCATTGTCAACACACTTAACTACTAGCAAAATTATGAAATACTTGTAATCGTGCAGTATTTGCAACCTGTTGTTTTAGTTGCTATTTCATTTGGACAGTTTTCTTATGATTACGTTTAAATTTCTTTGTAAAGCGTATAAGGAAAGTGTTAGACAGTGTTGCAGCTGGAGAACCAACATATGACCATTTAACACAGGCGCAAGTTAATCAGTTGGAAGATATGATAGTACAGTATGAGACCTGGTTGAACCAGCAAATGATGCAACAAAATCCTCGACCACAAACTTCAGATCCTGTAGTTAAAGTTACAGATATCATATCTCAACAGCAAGTAAGTAGTATATATTTTCCTTATTTTTCCAAATTATTTATTTAAACTGAAATGCTGGTACACCATATATATATATATATATATATATATATATATATATATAATATGCGCCACACAAATCACTCGGTTTTTGTGAGGCCTAAAATATCACATGTCTCCAATAAACATACTAATGTATCGTATGAATTCATTGCGGTATCATCTAATAGTGATTCTTCGAAACATTTCAAGACAAGGAAAAAACCAGCAACTTTTAATATCACTTAAGTTTCTTAAGCTTAACCGGAATAGAATTCTAGAGTTTTGGCTACTAGTTTATGTTTTCCGATTCAACAAATTGAGTGTCCAATGTATGGTCTAGAGCGTGTCACCTGTGGCGTGCCCCCATATGCCCTGGTACGGCCGAGGGTGGGGAGAGTTAGCTCTCCCTCTCAAAATGCATACAACCACTATCAGGGAAGTTCTACTCATTGTCTTTTCGCGGCTGGGATGTTATTTACGAAGATGAGAGAACGAAAAGCGAATGTCCGATACTTTACCCGGGTTAGCGGATACGGAGGATCCACCTAGGGTAGTTGGAAAACCCTGATTCCAAACCAATAGTGTACATGAGCTTCAGGATCCTGAAGGAACAAATGGCCTATGAACCAGTTGTTGGTCACCGGCTACCATGGGACTACATCTCCTGACCTTGTGAATCAGACTTTCTGGTGAAAGGCTCCGAGTGTGGCTCCCTAAGAAAACCATCTGCTTTGGTTTGGACACTCGGGCAGTATCACAGCCCACACACAAATCAAGTGACTTTTCGGCGCATATGTATTTAGTGCTCCTTTGCACCAATACTTGTGTGTTCAAATAAATAAAACCGGTGGCGTAGGCAAGATATCCGTTTGCTATCCAAAAGGCGAGTTTACTGTGCACAAGTTCGCTCCGTCCTACTTTATGCGTGTAAATATTCGTCGGTCACTAGTATCCTATCATAGGTATCTTCGAAGCATCGAATCAGCAGTGCCTGATGTTATATCTTGTGGCTGAGTGGATGTCCAGTTAATGTGTGACGTGATAAGACCGCCAATTAGAGAGCATAGAATTATCGATTGGAATAGTGACATACGGAAACCGTATGAGCAGTCTAGAGTACTTATCGGTTCTGCTATCTGCCTAGCCCAGCCAGTTAAGTCCAGAACAGCTTCTGCGATATGAATCTTTATATTTCAAACATACATACCAATCAAACTGACCACACCGTACCAATAAAATAGAAAACAACATTTGTACAAGATTTAGCCTAATGTGGTTGTGAATAAGGGGAACAGTAATCAATAGAATGGGTGTAATTCATGAATGGTAAATCGTATAACAATAGTTTATAGTTCAAAATAAAGCTGATGATAAGGGGAACATGAATATGAATAGTTTAGTCAGTTGGCCATGATACGATAGAAATATAGGCATAGTATTGGTCCATAAATGGATCCCAAATTTACCATTCACTATTGTTATCGGGATATAACACCTGAGTACTGGGTAGAGGTGGCAAGTCGGTTATTGAGGTAGTAAATTTTTATCAATTGTTTTATTAGAACATGTGTTACGTATATCCAACCACTACCCTGCTCGACAGGTGATGTCGTCTGGCGTAGGAGTAGGCTGGAAAAAACTAGCGTTGGCCAACTCCAAAATATGGCATCAGTCTGTAGAATCATTGACAGTTAGACTAAGCTATGTTATTAGTTGTAGACTACTTCGTTGGGGTCCGTTTGATTATCGTAACCAGGGGTTAGAGACTGAATCACATTAGTCGGAATCGTTTACAGTGACACAGGTACATCTATTCCTTGTCTTTTCTCAGATTCTAAGCCTCTGGTTTCCTCGAGATTTATCTCTCTAACTTATATTTTCTTGGATCGTATCTTCGATACTTAATCATTCTTATTACCACTAATACTGTTACTACATCTACATTTTAGATTCTTCATGGCGAATTCATTTCTCTCCCTAAACCGGATATGGCAACTCGAACCAATGTACATACGTACTAGGTTCTACATTGCCGCTGACTTATACGAAGAAAGATAGAGATTCAGACAGAAAGAAACCATCAGCCTAGAACATGGCACAAATGTGCATCGGAACAAGTTGTCGTACTAAATTAGCATGACGAGATAAAAATAATAAAACAGATCTACATAATATAATAGCAACGATAAAAGAAAAGACTAATGCTTATAAATCTTATATGAAATGAGGAGTATCTGGTAAACAAATGTATCAGTAATCCATACTTCTAATTTCTTTATCTCACTTAAGTATACCTCTTTAAGAAACTGGTTTAACGTTAATATTTTTCTCGGCTTTCGGACGTGGATTTCGCTCAGTTACTAAGCTCAGGTTTATATTTATAAATTTATACCTTTTCTATGCACCTATCTGATTATTAAAACTGAAGCGAATCGGAGTTTGAACAATGTGCCAATGTTCAGAGAGTGAATGTTTAAACTGACACTGAGTAAGCTATTCTTAAAACTAATGATTCTGCCCCACCCATTGCTGTTTCTGCGCAATCCACATCAGTCGAGGTACCAGTTGTCTGTCCTCCAAAATACCCTGTTGTCCATAAAACCAATAGCACTGTGGCGCATGCTACTTATGGTGACAGACATTAGTAGAATGTAGCACCAATCGAAAGTAGGAGGCATGCAAGCAAATTGAAAAGAAGATTTAATTGAGGAGGACAGAAAGTAATTGTAATGACAGAATTGAAGAATCATAAAACATATAAAGGAAAACTGGTGGGAGATGTACAAATTATGTATTTAACGTATGCTTTTCATATTTTACAAAAGCAGGTAACAGCTACTTACGTCATATAACTCTTGTAACGAGTTAGCCATTGTTCAGATTGTGTAATATCGTAATTAAAATGTAGTTCTACTGTTAACAAAATTACTTAATATTTTTGCTATTTAAACTCAGTTGTTTTTTCATTTAACTTTTAGGCCATGGAATCAGTGTGTCATCCCATTATCAATACTCCAAAGCCTCCGACGGCGTCTCCTACAAATAATACTCCAGACCTTAACTCTCAAAATTCTGGACAGTCTAACGATGTGAATAATCCAAAAACAAATTGTAACCCCGGCACAAATCATTCCAAAAAGTGTGTTGATGATGAACAAAACATGGACTTAGATTAATGGGATATGACTTATTTCTTTGAAATCTTATAATGTTCCATTCAGCATTTTGTCCAATTCTTCATTGTTTGACTTTTGTTATGACTTTCTAAGTGGGTTCTGTATTATAAAGCGTTACATAGCGGCTTCTCATTCCTCCTCATCTGTGTGAATACGAATGATACGATGAAAAGTCTAGAGGATTTTCTAAACGTTCACTTCAATGCAATGCCTGAAAAGTTTTTAAGCGCCCCCCGCTAGAAGTTTCCTGGTGATTTCAGTGTTCTCTTTTAGCTAGAGCTTTTCGTTCGGAACAACTATCTAGAAGTATTTCACTTTCGCCCTGATATGTGTTGGGTCAATACTGGTTTATTCGTAAGGTAGTTCTGACATTAGTTTCCTCTTTTATGTCCACCGAGTACTCAGCTCTCTGTCTCGTAAAGTCCTCTGGGTTATATAGCCGTTTACTACAAATATTAAGACTTGTTGCTGAAAAGTTACATTTAAAATTCAGCAACTAAGATTTAAATAATTCCAACGTTTCATGCAGCAAACCCTGAAGAAGTTTAAACAAGTCTTCTGGACGAAGCCTTGAGAGTAATTAAATTTCAATCACAGATTATTTCAAATATAATTTCCACAAATATTGTCTTCTCTACGTTTGGCGACCGATTTTTGTTAAACTATTATTTTTGGTATTGACGAATATTCGTGTAAAATATTCAAACCGTTGGTGTTGGGTCCTCAGTCGACTATCTATAGAAATCCCGCTTTGAATTTTACTACTTTTGTCAAAGTGAGACCAGGTGACGTTCATTCCTCATCCTGTGGGGCCTCTAAGTATATATCCCGAATACAATTAATATTAAGTAAACTGTTTTCATTTAACTAAGTGTAAATGTCGTAAGTAGTGTGTTTACGTCAGTTGTTGACAATTTCAAACACTTCAAATTCAATCTAGGCCAAGGCATGATATCTTAGTAGTAGCTGATGTGTCATGTTGATTGCCGGGTAAAAGACTATCTTAAGGTGATCAGATTGAGCGTGCAACAAATAGTTTCTACTGCTATCAAATCATGTTTAAGCATATATCACGAGGGTAACGTTGTAGTGTAGTGCTTCGTTAATCGATCGTCTTGATAACCGTTATTATAACAATCTGAACGGTGTATAATATCAGAAGACAAAGGGAAGCAGCAACTACATTTTTATTGATAACTAACATGGGCTAGAAGGCAGTGAGCACATTAGCAAATGTAAGCAAGCGAAGGAAAGATGACGCAGAGTGGAGATGGCTGGGAAGCCAACTCGTTATAAGCAAGCATTAATCAACATTTATAGTCAGGCTAAAATGAATGACAGACATGTGATAGGTATGTGATAGGTAGGATAAGAAGTGTGCATACACATACGCTCATATAAAAAAATAGTCAAGGTCAATAAGCGAATAATTAACAAGATCAAAACATGACTCATAACGTTATAGGTGAATTGGCTTGTCCAGAAACTAGAATAAGCTATGTAAGTGTAATATAGTACACGACGTTACACTACTCCCCACATAGCTCCCCCCCAGAGTGTCCGGAGGAAACACTGTTATGCAAAATAAACAAGAGGGAGGAGGTGTATATGCGTTCACAAACCAAAATTAAAGTATTAGCACATTGATTTGAAAATAACACTGAAATGGCATGTGGATAACGTTAATAATATGTGGAGAAAAAATTGTACTACATCGAATAAGTTACAGTGTCAATCGAGGGGCGAGTTTATTAAACGAAAGTGTCACACTTATGTGAAAATGTACATGAAAATTGTCAAAATGAGGACAGAAATGGAAATGTTAGCATGTGATTATGAGTAAATAAGTAAGCGTACAAAAAATTTAACATGCATTTATGTTGAGACTGTCCGGATGATAAAATAACATGTTTGTATGAGCAATTCGAAATATCGTGAAAATAGAGCAATAAATTGTTTATGGGTATGACAGCGGAATAAATCGTGGAAATAAGTATTGTAGAATATAATAGAAATTGGTCTGTAGTGCCAATTGAATATGAGAATGAAGAACAGTGAAATATGATGTTCTGATAAGCCGCAGTAGAGTAAATAGAGTCTCTTAGCGATGAGTGTATTCGAATTTACGTAACTGAAGTTTATGTGGGATAAGAAGTAATCCAGCCGTAGGAAGATGACTGCATCAACAGGTGGTATTCATTGCTGTACTGCAATTGATTATGATAATAAAATGCGAAACCAGCGTGCGCTAACGCTTGCGTTGAGTTATCGTTAAATATGTATTAGTAGAATGACCAGAGGAACAGGATAGTGACTGCTTAGACGAAATATGCGGAGTCGTATTCCTTTTTGGTCTAGAAGCCTAGCGCGGTTTGTGTAGTTAGAGGGATATGTGCTCAACCTCGTTTGTTACGAAACCGTATTAAGGCATAACAAAAATACCAATACATATGATTATCGATGGCGGCGAGTGAGACTGACTTGGATGTGACGAACAAGAGTGTATCCTTGAGAGACTAGCTCTAAACTCTATGTTCTGGTGTACAGTACAATGGAAATAAAATATTAATTGCAGTAATCGAATTGTGATTATAGGTAACGGATGATGCAGCATTCAGTTATACATGTGAATGAATAGATAATATGAAAATAATCATTACTAATCGGCTGGTAATGTGGCGTCGAATACTTGGTTTATGTATAGACATTAAAGTAGGGATCATCGTGAAACCAAAATTGCGAAAGTTCGGTTTAGATTGTCGCTGAAAATGTAGGAAACGACGGTTGCTGCGTACCAATGAAATGAATGAACATTAGTTGTCTATCGAGAACATAAGTTCCTACTATCGGGAGTATGACTCCAAACTTATGTCTATGATAGAGTGTAATATTAGACCGAAAATGACATGAAAAAAAAATTGCAACGAACTCACTTGAATCAAGAAAATTGTACGTCATTGGATAATAAAAATAATCCAGTGAGTTTCGAATATCATAACGTGTAATGTCCATATAATTATAATTTGTTCGATTAGTGATATGACTGCGTATGTCATAGTTTAATGTTAATACGAACAAAAATAATAATTCCACATTAGATGATGATATGACATTATTGTAATAATGAGCATATGATGATTATTTGAATCATAACGGAATATGTCGTCGACGGTTCCATCTTTGGTTTCTGTTCGCTCGTTGCGGTCGCCAATTCTGATGCGTGTTCCAAATACATCTAACCAATATGTTGAGTGTTCGTTCGGCGAGGCATCCAATTTTGTTACGTGTTCGCATGTAGGGCTAACCAATATGTTGTGAGTTCGTACGTTGAAGTTACCAACTTTGCTTCGCGTTCGTAATTCGGGATCGCCAATATGTGTTGCGTGTTCGTACGTCGGGATTACCAATATGTAGTGTAGTGCTTCGTTAATCGATCGTCTTGATAACCGTTATTATAACAATCTGAACGGTGTATAATATCAGAAGACAAAGGGAAGCAGCAACTACATTTTTATTGATAACTAACATGGGCTAGAAGGCAGTGAGCACATTAGCAAATGTAAGCAAGCGAAGGAAAGATGACGCAGAGTGGAGATGGCTGGGAAGCCAACTCGTTATAAGCAAGCATTAATCAACATTTATAGTCAGGCTAAAATGAATGACAGACATGTGATAGGTATGTGATAGGTAGGATAAGAAGTGTGCATACACATACGCTCATATAAAAAAATAGTCAAGGTCAATAAGCGAATAATTAACAAGATCAAAACATGACTCATAACGTTATAGGTGAATTGGCTTGTCCAGAAACTAGAATAAGCTATGTAAGTGTAATATAGTACACGACGTTACACTACTCCCCACAACGTCTATCTGGTGCGATAGACTTTCGGCTGTGTTCGTGCTTGGTTACAGAGACGGAAGCAGGTTCAGTATCAGCTACTCTGCCTTTATTTAAATTGCCACTACTCTACGAACTCCTGTCTATTCTTCGTCCTACCCATTTAATCGATTTGACGATTTAAAATTTACTGACAAATAATGAGCAGTGGTTCGGCAACAATATATAGTCAGATCTTTTGTGGGTGACAATCCTGGTTAACCATTTATGCGTAAAGTTCTATCACATTGGTATCAAACTGGTCCTGTTCGATTTTAAATGTGTTGCAACTGCATCTCGTTTAATTAGGGTATAGTGTCTACTAGTCGTTTCCACATCAGACGTAGGTCGCATGACATTTTTAGTTTACTGGTCCAGTATATTTTAGATTTACATTGCGATCTGGGTAGTCACTAAACACTCAGGAATGAAACAAGAAGAAATGTCAGCAGAATAACATGGATTTCCCATCTGCTTACAACTCGAGACCGAAGTATTAATCAGTAAGACGAAACAATTCAACATGCTTGACGTCAGTAAAGTGTGGAAATAGAATAAAACAAAGAGACCATAATGCGGAAGATCCAAAGTCGTTCAGGCATCCACTTATTCGTTGGGCGAGACTAAAGAACGTGAACGACCTTTGAACGAATCTCAAATGACCTTGAGAAATATTAGCCAATCAGAAGACAGTTAGCATACAGTAAAAATATACAAAACTGAAAAATTAAAGGGGGTACCGTTCTTTTACACGACTCAAAAACTTATCAAGGTCAGATATAGGTTCAGAGGTTCTAAAATCATAGTGCATCCGGCACAGGAACTCATCCCTATGGCTCCATAGTAGTCGACCTCTGGAACCATGATAAAGTTCCGAAAATTCTTTCAGCCTCGACCACATAGTTCAGTGTTGTCGGTATGGTTTAGGATTAGGGTTAAAGATGAGACTATAAATTATGGACGACATTTGAGCGACGCTAGAGTGAATCTGAGAGTGTCAACGTAATAACTAAGACTAAATGAGGGTTATAAACCTGTGTGAAGAATTCAAATTATGATTTACAGTTCATGGTTAAGGTTAGGAATTACACATAGGGTTTTCATCACGAACTGACATCAG